GTGTGGTGGCGGGCGCCATAATCCCAGCTACTCAGGAGGCTAAGGCAGGAGAATCGCTTGAACCTGGGAGACTGAGGTTGCGGTAAGCTGAGATCACCCCATTGCACTCCAGCCTGGACAACAAGAACGAAACTCTGTCTCAAAAAAAAAAAAAAAAAAAAAAAAAGGAGATTTGGGGTCATATTTATATTTTTTTGGCTTGGATTCTACTTTGCCTAATATCACGATCACCTCCCCTATTTTCTTACTGTTTTCATTTCCCCTATATTTCGTTGTCCATCCGTTATTTTTAGTCTTCTTACATCACTCTGTTTCTTGTATACAGTATACTGCTGGTTCTAGCTTTGTAAGCCAAGTTGAAATAAGCTAAATAGGTGAGTCAAGCCCACTCATCATTCATATGACTGAATGTTTGGTTTGAAGCCTGATGTAAAATTTTATTATTATATTTGCTTTGTTTATTTTCTGTGCAATGTATACTATTTGTAGTTTTATGAAAATTTTTTGCTGATACTTAAGAATTTTTATTCTAGTGGTTACCTTTGTATTTATACTTTATTCTCCATTTTCTTATTAATATTTACTATCTAGTTTGTCAGGTTTTAATGCCCTTAATTAACGCTTATTGTCTATACAGCAATCGATTATTTTAATGTAACTTCTGCTCCCATTTTTTCGTTGCTTTATTTCTACCTGATTGCAACATATAATGTTTGTGTATTGGTTTTGCACTCTCGTTCCTACTGTTGGTTTAGTCTGAAAGCTACTATTAAATATAGTAAATATCATAATTTTATTTTGCTGAAGTTTTTCAGTCATCTCTTGTTGAGTGAAGCTCATTCATTAGTAGATCTTCATGAATGGTTCATGGGTACATAATTATCTAAATTATATGTTTGAAGCTGTTTTTCTATTATAGTGTTGTGTACTGAAGGGCAACTTGACTGAATATAAAATCTTGGTTCACACTTTCAGTTTTTTGAAAATTTGTTGTCTTCCTTTGCATAGATTTTTTGAGAAATCTGATATCAGTTTAATTATTTTGCCCTTGTAAATTATTTGGTCACATATCCCTGAATCCTCAAGGATTAAAATATTTTTTTCAAGTTTAAATAGTTTTACTGAGATATGTCTTGGAGTTAACATTCAAAGTTTACTTTTCCAGTTAACTGGAAATCCATTTCAAAATGTAGATTCAGATCCTTTTTATTTCTGATAATTTTTCATGGATTATAATTTTAAATATTAGTTCTGTTCCATTGATTTTTATTTCTTCTTCAGGGACTCCAATTATACGTGAGTTATTTATCTTTTGTTCAACTTTCACTCTCTTTCTGACCCTTTTTTCTTTTTTTCTGTGTCATATTTATTTATTTTGCATCTATCCAGTGCCTAAGTTTTCATTAGTCTCTTTTCCTTTGGGCACCTTGTAATTTAGTCTTCATTTATAATTCCCCCCTTCCATTTCTTTCTTGAATTCAATAATCTTTCAATTTAGTCCTTTTTTTTTAAATCTATTTCTGTTTTTCATATTTTGAATTTCCAATTCACGGTGCTTTTTCATATCCCCAAATGCTTATTTGAGGATTTTATTCAGTTTGATATGTTGTGTTACAATTTTCTTCTGCTTTAATGGTTGCTATTGGTAGAGAATTTTCATCAGCCAATGCATGTTAATTATTGTTTGCTGATTTCTCATACTACCATGATATAGATTTATTCCATTTCCTTCCATTCGTTTATTTGAATTTGAGGGGTTGTAAGATTGCTAGTTCACAAGCACTCTCTCCGTCAGCATAGAAAAGTACAGTTTCTTTAGTGGGTGTTTTTTTTTAACTTCGTAATAGAGGGAGGGATTATGTGTGTTCCAGTTCTTTTTGTTTTGTTTTTGTCTTACAGGACCCTGAATTTCTCCTGTTGCTTCTTTTCCCCTTCACCATCCAGTTGCCAAAAGGCAACTTGCCTATTCTTTTTGCCTTTCTCCACTGCCTGAAGCTATCCTGTAATAAGTGTTGTGATACTGAGATACTTTATATTTTTGCACCTAGGATAGAATTTATATCTCTGCTTATGATTTTAGACTAATTTTAGGCCTGCCACTAGATCCGTTTTTCTTTATTGTGTATGTTCTTCTTTGGACTGCCCTTGCTTGCTACAAAGGCTTATGGTAGAAATGTGAAAGATCACTCACTTGGATTTGGTGCTTTTAGTTTTTTTACTTATAATTATTTGACATTTGGCTATATTATTTTTCTTGTTAGGCTTAGGGTGTATTTTGTGTAGATTTATTTGTTCTTCTTGTTGTTCTGTATTGTTTATGACGGATGTAGGTAGCTGCCATTTCATTTTACTACCGCGAAGTCCTCTCCTATTCACTCTTAAATCTACCTCATTAAAACCTCCAGTAACTATTTATTGTTGGAAGTCATAATGAAACTGTTGATCAAATTGCCCAATCCAAATCAAATTAACCAAAAAGACTTTCTTCAGTCTTCATCTTAATTACCTTCCCTGCAGAACAGAACATTGTTGCCCATTATGTGAAACTCTGTTTACTTCTTTGGTGGTCCTATCTGTTTTCTTATGCCTCTCTAATTGTTGCTTATGGTATACTTGCTGTTTGTTTGTTTGTTTTGTACACTCATTAAATGAGTTCTCTATCTAAATATCCCATAAGGCACTTCAGAATCAACATATCCAAAAGGAAACATATTATACTCATCTCCAAATCTTTTCTTTCTCCAGCAATTCAAGTTTTGGTGAATGAAGCCATAAACAATCCAGTAATCAAACCAGAAACTTGAGAGTCATCTTTTTTACACCTCCCATTTTGCATCTGTCACATTGAATAAGCAATCATGCCCTGAGCCATATACTTTCTTAACATCTCTGCTATCCTCTCTATCCTCTTTGGTATGGCCTCTCTTCGGACTGCCTCCTTAGCTCTCTTCTGGATCACTGTAACAGCCTAACAATTGTAACACCTTCAGTTTTGCTGTTTCTTCCATATAACTGTCAGAATTATTTTTCAGGAAGATCATGTCAATCACTCCTTCTCAGTGGTTCTTCATCGCCTATAGGAAGAAATCCAAACTCCATAGCATGAGAGAAATGTTTTTTGTAACGACTTTATCCTGCCTTTCTATTGTTTCTTTCATATCATGCCCATCTCAGCCCCCCATTCAATGAAAATCATACTAAACTACTTTAATTCCACTAACATGTTGTGCTACTTAAGCCTTTTTACCTTTGTTCATGCTGTTTTTACTCAGCCCACTCCATTCCACAACATACACTTGGGGGATACCTACTAATTTTGAAGACACTGTTCAGCCCTGATGTTAACCTTCTTTATGGAATCATTATTGACACGATGGGTAGAATTGGTCAGATTCTTCCTTGTTCCTCAATTGTACTAGGTACAGCATTCTAATGTAGCACCTATTACACATTTTAAAATTTGTTTACATGTTTCCCCTCATGTAAATTTGTAGGACTGGCACCTGAAATATACTAGGCTTACCTTACTGACATTTTGAAAAATAAGATAGCTTTCCAAGGCTTGCTTTTGCCTCCTGATTCAGAGGTTTACCATTGACATCATCGGGAAGAACTTCAAATAGTATTATTGATCAGAGTCTTCTGGAAGTTTCTGCAAGTTACACATCAACTTACTTTTCCCTGACAAAATAATTCTGCATCTAGAAACACAAACAAGTAGTCAAAGAAGTTATATTGTAACTAAGAGATGAATTACCAAAGGAAAATTGAAATCAAGAAACATTTGATGAAATTCAGGCAATGTCTTCAGGTGCCAGAGGACACAGAAATGTCCTGAGAACCATTCACATGATCTTAAAGAAACTTCTGCTGGTATTCTTGTACCTTTGAAGCAAGTGTGATTGAGATGGCTACCTTAATTTTTTTTAAGTAAAAATTGTTCATTCTCTTATGCACTTTAGCATACTGGTATTCTTATCAAAATATGAAACAGCATCAAGTTTAATATTAATTATAAAACACACAGTATATTTATATTTCTGCTCTTTATTTTCTAAAGTTAACTCAGTTAAGAGCTCTCTATATAGGTATTTGGACATGGGCTTTAACCACTTTTTAGAACAAATATTGTGAAGAATGTTTTATTACATGACATTTTATGATGTGAGTTTAACACCTTTGTATTAGTGAACATCCTAGATTGTACACTTCAATATAGATTTTTAAAATGTATAGTTATACTTGTGCAAGATACTAGAAAATGAAAATGACTGTTCACACATGAATACTTTATTATTCAGTAATTTTACATGAGACTATTACTGTTTGAAAGAAAATCATGCATGTCTAAAACTGATTGTGTTCCGGTTTTATAATTTTGTGTACTAATTTTAAGATACTATTGTGTGTATTTCCCTCACTTATTTTAATTTCCATTTTCTACTGCATTTCTACCAATATAAAAAACATAAAGAATTCAGTTGGTTCCTTTCTAGAGGGAAAATTTGTTGTGAGTATAGTACTGGGAATCACATGCTGCTTCCCTTTGTGGCTTTGAATAAAACCCTTATTTTCTTGTCCATTTTGTCTCAAATAAAGAATTTTAAATGGCATTGTCTAAACTCAGGAGTATTATGTGAATTGATTAGTGTGAGAAGTTTCTTTCATGATAAGTATAGAGTTTAAGTATATAAAATCAACTCTTGGTCATATACATAAAACACAACTGAGAAGTAAAACTTCCCATCAACTCTTGGTTATATACAAAAAAACCTGAGGAGTAAAATTTGCCATACATATAAGTAATTAAAAATGGATTATAGCTTGAAAGGCATTAGATCTCACATTATTTACATTCTCACTCCTTTTAGCTCCTTTGCTTTTTTGTTCTTTTGTTTGCAAAGATTAAAAATAATGTTCCTGGCATTTTAATGGAACATTACCAAATGTACATTCATGTGTATTGATCAAAGACCAACTTTAATTAGTTAAAAATCTAATTTTTTCTAGACTAATTAAAAGGATAAAATTCTCTTATTTGAATAATAAGAGAATTAAAGAGCTTATTAAACAAAAACAGCTGCTGACAAAGTGTAGCAAAGACTGACTAGACTGGCCAGAATTTCCTCTTCTTCCAGGACAGATGGTTCGTAAATGATGTTTTAAGCCTTCCTTGTAATGGCCGAGTGACTGGGTTCTAGCTAGTGGAATGTGAGTGGAAGCCTTTCACCTTAGAAAAGACACACAATTCTGCATTTCCCCTTCCATGCCGTGGTGTAAACATGTATGGTGACTTTGGAAGCCACATTTTGACGATGGTGGAGCCTCAAGATGAAAAGAGCCTAGATTCCTGAATCACCAGGTGGAGGAATGTTGCCAGTCCATCAGTAACATATTTTGGACTTTATCAGAGCAATAAGTAAAATACTCTACTTTTAGAGCCATTATACATTTAATTTTTAAATTTTCATTGCAGTTGATGTTGCCTGAGCCTATATAGAAATTGGTACCTTGAAAAGTGGAGGTTTCTGAACAAAAAACCTTTAAGGTATGTAGCATTGGGTAGAAACCTTTAAGATATGTGGTTGGGAAGAAAAATTAAATTAAAATTAGTTCCATTATAATAAAGATGTATTTTAGTTTTTACAGGTAAGCTTAAGTTTCATATTGTCACACTTCATAACACAGAGGAGGAGCAATCTGTGCTTTCAAGTGCAGACATTTGTTTTTAATAGCCAGGTCCTTGATTAACCTGTGGATAGCCCTTGTAATGTAAAGGTAAACAGAGCTCAGCTTCTGAATTTGCTTGTATTCTCTGCTTTGAACATGAATTATCTTTATTTGTAAGATATGTAGAGATCATATATGATACCGGTTCATTCATTTATATAGTACAGCTTTGATAATTCATATTTGGCCTTTGAATTGCCTATTGTTACAACTACTTACTGTTCCTTAAAAGAATTTAATAAAATAAATGCTGTCATTAAAATGACAGCTGTGAAAACAGTTTTTTGCATGTTATCATAGTGTTAAGTTTAAAAAGAGAACACTGAGTTTTGTGTAAAAAATTATATAGGCTAGGTGTGGTGGCTTATGCCTATAATCCTAGCACTTTGGGAGGCTGAGGCAGAAGGATTGCTTGAGGCCAGGAATTAGAGACCAGCCTGGAATATAATGAGACCTGTCTCTACAAAAAATAAAAATATAAATTAGCTGAACGTGGTGGCACACACCAGCAGTACTAGCTACTCCGGACACTAAGGCGAGAGGATTGCTTGAGCCCAGGAGTTTGAGGCTGCAGTGAGCTATGATTGGGCCACTGCACCCCAGCCTGGGCACCAGAGCAAGACCCTGTCTCCAACAAGTAAATATATAAAACTAAAAATAAATTTAAACAATGAATTATATAAAGATCAGTGTGGATGGAAAGAGAGAGAACTTTTTTCAAGTGGGATTATCGGTGACTTTAAAAAAATCATCATCATATATATATGTGTGTGTGTATATATATGTGTATATATATGAAGGAGAAGTGAAAAGTTAGAATAACATTACCTCAGTATTAGCTAGAACACTAGGTCACTAGGCTGCTGCTCCATATTATGTAGTATTTTGCTGGAACTTGTTTCAGTTTAGAGAGACAATAAAAGAGGAATTATACCCATTTCTTCACACACAAAATAGTCCCAGCACTATATTTTTATAAGACTGTTGTTTTCTGTCATTGAATTTGTTTGGCAAACTTACCAAAAATCAATTGACCGTATGTATAAGGTTGGGTTTCTGGACTCTCAATTATATTTCATTGGTGTATGTCTGTCCTTATATTAGTATCACACAGTCTTGATTATTTGCTTTTGTGGATTCCTTAGGGGGTTACATACACACAATCATGTCATTTGTGAAGAGAGACTGTTTTACTTTTTCCATATGGATTCATTTTATTTAATTTTCTTGCCTAATTCCTTTTCTAGAACCCACAGTACAATGTTGACTAGAAGCTGAAAAATTGGACATTGTTTTTCTTGATTGTAAGAGAGAAGCATTGTGTCTCACCATTAAGTATGATGTTAGCTATGGTTTTCATAAATACCTTTTATCAGGTTGAGGAACATTCCTTCTCTATTAATTTCCCAGGGATGCTATAACAAAATGCTATAAATTTGGTGGCATAAAACATTATTGTCTCATTTCTGGGGGCCAGAAGTCTGAAATCAAGGAATTAGCAGGGCCACACTCCATCTGGAGGGTCTAGGGAAGAATTCTTCCTTTCCTCTTCCACCTTCTGGTGGCTATTAGAATTCCTGTGCTTCCTTGGCTTGTGAAAACAAAATCTAATCTCTGCCTCCATCTTCACATACCCTTATTCTCTCTGTGTCTGCTCCTTTTCTGTCTCTCATAAGGACACTTGCCATTGGATTTAAGGCATACCTGAATATTCCAGATTGATCTTATTTCAAGATTCTTTACTTAATTACATCTACAAAGACCTTTCTTCCAAATAAGGTGCCATCCACAGTTCTGAGGATTAGGGCACAGACATCTTTTGGGGGTATTGGGGGGACTATTCAACCACTACAGTCTGTCCACTAGCTCCCCACAATTCACATATATCTCACATGCCTTCTTTCATCTTCTTTCATTCCTGATCTTGATAATATGAGTCTTCTCTCTTTTTTCTTGGTTAGCCTAATTAAAAGTTTTATCAACTTTTATATCTTTTTTCAAAGAAGCAATTTTTGATTTTTTTTTTTTTTTTTTTTTTGAGACGGAGTCTTGCTCTCTCGCCCAGGCTGGAGTGCAGGTGCACGATCTCGGCTCAGTGCAAGCTCTGCTTCCCAGGTTCACGCCATTCTCCTGCCTCAGCCTCCCGAGTAGCTGGGACTACAGGCGCCTGCACCACGCCCCGCTAAGTTTTTTGTGTTTTTAGTGGTGACGGGGTTTCACTGTGTTAGCCAGGATGATCTCAATCTCCTGACTTCGTGATCCGCCTGCCTTGGCCTCCCAAAGTGCTGGGATTACAGGCGTGAGCCACCACGTCCAGCCAATTTTGTTTTTCTTTGTTGTTTTTCCATTATCTATATTATTTATCTCCACTTTCATTTCTATTATTTCTTCCCCTGCTTGCTTTAGGTTTCGTTTGCTCCTCTTCCATTGTCTTAAGGTGGAAGTTTAGGTTATTGATTTGCAGTCTTTCTTCTTTTTTAATATAGGTATTTATAGCTATAATTTCCCTCTAAGCACTGCTGTATCTGTATCTCATAAGTTTTGGTATATTAGTCTTCGGTTCATGCATCTCAAAATATTTTTTTAATTTCCCTTGTGATTTTACCCTTTAGTAATTTACGAGTATGATTAACTTCCACATATTTATGAACTTTCCAAATTTATTTCCATTTTTGATCTAAAATTCTATTCCTTTGTGGTTGGAAAACAAAATTTATTTAATTCCAATACCTGTATATTTATTAAGGCTTGTTTTGTGGTCTAGCATATACTTTATCCTAGAGTGTGTTCCATGAGCACTTGAGAAAAACGTGTATTCTGCTACTGTAGGGTAGAGTGTTCTATAGATTTCTGTTAGATTCAGGCGATTTGTAGTGTTGTTCACATCTTCTGTTTACTTTTTGATATTCTGCCTAGTGTTGTTTTTTTAATTGCAAGTAGGGTAATGGGGTCATTATTGAAAGTGGGGTATTGGAGTCTCCAATTATTGTCCAATTGTCTATTTCCTTTTTCATTTTTATTAGTTTTTATTTGACGTGTTTTATGGCTCAGTTGTTAAGTTCATGTATCTTTGTAAATGTTTTATCTTCCTGATGGATTATTCCTTTTATCATTATAAAACATTTCTTATTCTCTAATAACATTTTTGTTGTAAAGTCTACTTTGTCTGATATTACTATAGCCACTTTAGCTTTCTCATAGTTGCTTTTTGCATGATGTATCTTTTGTCACTCTTTTACTTTCAATCTAATTGTATCTGAATCTAAAGTGTATCTCCTGCAGACAGAACATAGCTACAATTTATTTTTTAAATCGAGCCTGGTAATCTATGCTTTTTGATTGGATTAATTCATTCATATTTAATACTATTATTATAGTTGGATTTATGTCTACCATTTCACATCTGTTTTCTATATTATGCATTTTTATTCTTTCTTTTCAGCTGTCTTTTATAGAAAAATGAATAATTTTTAGTGTGATTTTTTAATTTATCTCATCTTTTTCACTGTATTATAAACATTTATTCTACTAGTGGTTGCTGTAGGACTTCCCAAACACATACTAATGTATCACAGTCTACTTCAGAATTATACTTATGTTTAGTGAGATATAGAAATGTTATTCTATATAGCCGTATTTTTGCTTTCTGTTTTTGTGCTATTGTTGTTACACATATTACATCATATGTTACAAATACAACAGAATATCATTATAATTACATTATATAATGTTACATCTTTTTAAAAAGCTAAGAAAAGAGAGACCAAGTGTATACATTTACAGTGTGTTATATCGATGTTCTTATTTACAATTTCACATTCTCTTAATTTATTTTGCTTTTGAGTTTTAAAATGAATTTTCTAAAAATCAGAATAAAATGAAAAATGAACCTAACTGCTGTATTCAGAAACCATTCAGAGCTATTTATTTATTTGTCTTTTTTTTCTTTTTATTGCTTTTCACATTGAACGTCAGGCCTCAAGCCTGAGAGAAGTGGCTCTGAGACCCTAAGTGCCCTGAGAAGTGCCCCCATCCCCACTGAGCTAAGCAGACTGTTTTAAGTTTTTTTAAAACCCAGTAATTTGTGTATCTTGGTGTGATATATACTAAGGATAAAAGTAACCACAACAAGACCTTAAACTGTTTCCTGTAATTACTGATAGCTGTGGAGTTTTTTTGTTTTTGTTTTCTGAGACTGGTGAATGTTCTTCCTGAATAAATTAAGTGAGGAATTATTCAGGGCCAGGACTAGAGTGAGGGAAGAAGTCATTTGCCTCAGACACAAAATATAAGGGACTCAAAACAAATACAGTAATGAGCTGTGATTGCATCACTGCACTCCCACTTGGGCAGCAGAGCTAGACCCTGTCTCAAATATATATATATATATATGTGTTTCTGTGTGTGTATATATATACACATATATTTGAGACGGGGTTATACAACTGAGTTAGAGAATACTGAAGCATTGCTCCTCGGAGAAATGCAGAATTAGATTCTTGCAAGCCTCTGGTTATATTTTTTGTCAACCAATCATTATATAACCTGTTGTATGTGTGTTTCTGTATAAAGATACTTTATTTAATATATAATGCATTTCTCCTAGGAGCAATGTTTCAGTATTCTCTAATTCAGTTGTATAAACCTGTCTCAAATACACACACACACACACACACACACACACACACACATAGAGCAATATTTTTTAAAAAATAAAAATGCAAAAAAATAAAAATTTTAGATAAAGGCAGGAGCAGTGCCAGTACCATGCTGTGTCATATTGGAGCCTGAGGCAAAAGGAAAAGTCAATAATGCAGA